AAAAAAACGTAATCAGTGCGCAATAAGATAGAATATGAGGTAAACAAAAACACGGATATCAACAATAAAACGCAATATGAACAACAAAAAATGCTGAATCTTATCAATCAGAAACAACTTTAACAGACAATTTAAAAGTAGTGATTTGAGAACAACATTGACAATTCATAATTCTAATAATCAGAAACGGATTAATTGTGACGATCACCGACGGCCAATAATCAACTACCCATTGCACCATGTTATTGAACGTTTCACCGATTATTTGCTGGTGCATAAAAATTTACAACGAAAACATAAATCGACTGATGAATGTTCTGAATTCTGCTTTATCTCTTACTCAAAAGAACATAAGCTATCTTTCGTTCATTTTCTCCAGTGCAATTCTCAGTGTTGTTGTTTCAATAAAGTAATTTCGCTGAGGGCTCCACTCAGTCAATGCTAGTCATCTCTTTCATGTGATCGAAGAACTCCGGATATGGCTCGATATCTTCTTTCCTAACATCCTCGACCTTACAACTGCGAACGGGGCACGGGCACCTCGAGCCCTTTTTGGCAGCTACCAGAAATGCCTTCGCACCTGCTGCATCGTAGACATGACCACAACGCTAGAAACAAANCTCGCAATCACGAACTTATTTTAAAACGAATTCCATCTAAACAAATCAGACTTTCAAAATTTTCAAAGCATCAATGAAGAGACTGATGATGAATTAGCATCGAGATGTGATCCGAAAGACGGAACACAAACCTTATTTCGAACAGGATTGACAATTGCCTTGTTCGTATACGGGTCCAGTTTTGAGTTGATCACCTGCTCGACCTGCAGCACTTCATCGCCACACCGAAGTTCTTCATATATTTCTATTCGTTTCTTATTTGCACTACTTTGTTCCAGCTTAGCCAATCTTAAATTAATTCTTGGAATAGTTCAAAGTTTGAGTTTTTTTTTCGAAAACATGATGTTGTCTTCTTCTTTCGAACGTATTTCCTTGTTTTATTCAAGCTATGATAGGCAAATATCAATGAAAAATATTGACCTCTGCTTGAAGACTGTCTCGATATCAGCACTCCTGCCCTTTTCAAGAGGCTTCAATGCATCTCGTAGTGCTCGATGTTCATTTTGCAGTTTTCGATCAAGAGCTTCGCACCTATCGATCATGTCTTTGAAGACCTCTTCACCAATATGTTCGCGATAATCACCTAATGATTTCAGGTGACTGATCGCATTCTCCAAATACTTCTGCCGGATGTCGTTCAACTCCTCATCGAGATCGTTGTTTTCAACGTCGATCCCTTCAACGTCCATCGTTCGATCACTATGCACTGCACTTAAACAATACTGACTGAAACATAGCTACTCAAAATTAGTGCAACATTCTGCACATTTCAAAACGTAGGCAATTCATTGCAGAATACGGTAACTTGATGTTCAACGACATGAGAGGCACAAGGGACACGGCGATTTCTTTGGAGTGACTGAACCTTTTATCTTTGGAGTGACTGAATTGGTCAATTGCGAGTAAACCTTTTTAATTTTACTGAGATTTTCGGTACGTCCACCATATGCCACCCAGGATGATAGGCTGTCTGCGCTCTGGCCTTGCATGAAACAGAATTGCGATGCGTGATAATATTGTGATTATATAATATATTCGGCCACCGACAGCACAGTTGATCTTATGTGACACTACCAAATTGCAAAGGAATCGTTGTCCGGTTGTTATGTCACTGAATTATCTGATGGAATTGCATCTGAGATGGGTTTTAAGGTGTGAAATTGGGTGAGATTCGATGATTGAGGTGAGAGTAGAATACGGTTTAATGGAATGAGTATTGACGAAAGCAAGAACACACGTTTTGATTATCTTTTTAATAAGCATTCACAATTCATTGCGAGTTTTTGCCTCTCCGTTATCATCAGTATCGCAAGTACCGCATTCCTCCTTCTTTGACATCTTGACATCTAACGATAAGATGTAGCGTTGAAAATCTCACCCGTCTTCATGAAATTCTAGCTTGAAATGTTGGCTTAGCAAGCACATAGGTGTACGGCTACTCTCCCATTATTACCCAATCATTTCTGGGTGGAGAGACTCAAAATTGGTCCGAAAACACCCTTCGCTTGATCGATTGAACACACGTCCAATGATCACTCAAACTTTGGAACAGCCGACAGTAGAAAGATAGTAGACTTTCGTGATCAATGATAAGCAACGATTTTGATTAATGTAATCGAATAGATCCGTAGCTTCAGCGTATTAAACAATCCACCATTAAGCAACAATGAATGCCCATCGCCATAATTATTTTGCATAACTTTTGCACAGAATCGACAAAGCAAACGCTCATCGTCAGTGTCCGAATACCAAGCCCTCCATTTTACACAGAATTAAACGTTCTATCAGAATCTACTTTCAATTTGTAAGATATAATAAACTTATATTGTTTCATGATATTGCTTGTCGCAATCTGCTGTGTATTGCCTCGGTGGTTCCAAAACATCACTTATTTACATCGGGGCAACTCTTCTCGTAGGAAAACGGATTCAGTTAGAGATTTTATATCTTTATAAAACGTCTACCATCTTTTTCGTCAACGTTGGTTCCAATATACCGTAATCTGCTGTGACGTTAGTTCGATTGACACCACTGTTTTACAGAGACAGAAGAACCTAAGTGTTTCATTTACTGGTAACGCAACCTCAAAATCATATTTAAGAACTGTTGTGGTGATAACCACTGATTATTGATCTTGCGTCGATCATTATAAGCTAGATCGTTTTCGCGCCTATCATTCTCGTGTCGAATTCTGATTGGTTGATTGTAACTATATAAGTTCTTCTCAATCATACCATGAGTGATCATTGTACTGTTTAGTCTCGTGTACATCAGCCGTGTATTGTCTCCAAAGGTCGATCAAGTTCACCGACATTGTTATTGTTGTGTTTAAGCCTAA